AATAAGTGTTATAGAAAAAGAGAAATAGGGCTGGGGGAGTGGGGGGGGGGGGGGGCAGTGGTTTAACTGATGAAGCCCTAGCTCTGAAATACATAAGTACATTTCAAATTAGATTAGTCTCATTATTAAGTACTTTTGACCTTTGACCTGTGCTGTTGACCTTCACCAACCTTTGTTAATTACTAATGTTCATTAACGTGGTCCAACGTTCCCACCTCAGTTTTCATTTTTCTGTTTCCAGGTTGGAAGAATTCCAGAAGAGGTGTGAAGTTCTGACTGCTGCACGCCCTGTTCTGATCCAGCCCACACTGATGTCAGTGTGGGCTGGATCAGAACACCCTGGTTCACAGGTTCAACTCCCACCAGCATCTGACCAGGAAGTGATTTTTTTTCCGAAAGGGACCTTTGCTGTGTGGAGCTGGACCTGGGTCAGACAGGACCGGGTCAGACAGGACCGGGTCAGACAGGACCGGGTCACACAGGACCGGGTCACACAGGACTGGGTCACACAGGACCGGGTCAGACATGGAGCTGCACTTCCTACACTGAACATTTGGACTCTTTGGTTCTGTAGTAAAACCCAAACGTTGTTCCTGATACTGATTCAAATGAACTGTGAACTTTGAACAAAATCTGACTCAGTGTCACAACGACACATGTGGACGGACAACCCCCCCGTCCCCCCCCCCATGGAGTCATGGAGCCCCAGGAGAACTGACATGTTTTCTTAAGATCGAGTGTAGTCATTATTTTGTAGTTGGGGGTTAAACCAGTGCCTTCATAGGTCAAAGGTCACCAGTGCCTTCATAGGTCAAAGGTCACCAGTGCCTTCATAGTAGATGATATTAATGAATCCAGAGCCACAAAAACATTTCCATTACTTTAATAGTGATAACGTGTAAACACTTTTAAATACTGTGTTCCTGTATTAATAATTAATAATTAATATTTAAACCATATAAGTGGTGGCTTAGTGGTTAAGGAAGCGGACTTGGGTCTGGAAGATTGCAGGTTTGAATCCACCAGCTGTCAAGTTCAGAGGTCATATTTCCTCGTGTGCAGGGGCGGGGGGAAGGGTGAAGAACCACCTCAACGTCACCGCCTTCTCTGGACCCTCCTCGTGACCATCACCTCGAATAAGTTCTGGGATGAAGGTCCAGCTTTTTGTAAAGTTGGTTTGATTTTTGTACAAATCCACAGCCTCCAATCAGCATGAACAGTCAGTGATGACAGACAGTCCAATTCTGTCTGTCATCAATATCACAGTCATCAATAACACCTGGTTCCATGTCAACATTTAAGTGAATTCACACTGATCCAGGGCAGCAGGTCTGAATGTTTCTGTAGAGCCCAGAATCAGAACTAGTTTGACCACAGAACCACCTTCCATCTCATGGAACCACAGAACCACAGTATCTCCCTTCCTAATACTTAGAGATGTGATTAGCCTGCAGGGGGCATCGTTCGAGTCACTGGTGACTGACTCTGATAGGTTTCAAATGTAAAGCCATTAATAAAATGCATTTTGATCAGTTTATTCATTGTTGTCAGTTATTTGGGTCAGGGTCATGGGTCAGGGTTCATCTTAGCTGCTGTGAGGACAGTGTCACTCACCTCCAGGTCAAACCAAAAGAAAAAGAAAAAGTTTTTACAGGTTGTGGTGGTTTTTTTGTGTGCTTTGTATTAATTATTCAGCTATGACCTTTAGTAGGTTATAAAAACATTGAACCAACTTTTGACTTTTTTTTCGTTGTTTTCCTCACCATTTAACGTCATTTGTCTTTCAGCACATATAGTAATGTTCTGGAATTTTACTGTGGTTCTAGTACGTTTTACGTTTGAATCTAACCTCTAATTTAGCGATCGTTTTTCTTTGAAGTTATAGCTTCGTTAGAACTGAAACGTTTGTCAGCCATTTACCATGAAGCCTTTGATGAAATTGGTGAGGGAGTTTCGATTTGCTTTGATTCACACTCCAGGCCAGAGAGTGGCGCTAGAGCCTGTTCTACACTGTGAGGAACGGCCGTTGAAACTACGCAGAAGAACACGTCGTCTGTGATTGGGTGACCGCTGTCCAATAGAGAAGTGACAGGAGACGACAGTGAGGTTTAGGGGCTGTTGCAGAATGTTTAGGAAACTTTTCTTTTTGCTTTTTTTCATCTTCGTTTTCTATTATGAAGCAACTGACGCTCAGAAGAAGAAAGAGGTAACCGACACGTGAAGCGGATGCATCATAGAAGCTGAGAAAACCTGACGTCAGCGCTTTAACACACACACACACACACACGTATATACATGCCAGTCACCGTGTCAGTGCGAAAGCTAACGAGCTAATACCTAAATCATTGAACAGGAAATAGCTAACGCGATGCTGTGGGAGGCAGACAGAGTTAACTGTCTCCAAATACACTCGGCAGTTTTTGGTTTTACTTTTTTTTTATCTCATTCTGGTAAAAAGTGTTTTTTCCCGTTGACGTCACTTGTGTACAGTTGACGTCTCTTCACTCACTGCTGACTCCACTGAGACTGTAGAGGCTCGGGATGTTCTATAATTCTGGCCCAGTGTAAATTTGACTTTGAGCCCCTCCCCAGCCCTCCCACCCCCGCCTTACTTACTGTCCAGGCAGTTGTTTTGATTAGTGCCAGGACCAACAGTTCATCTCTGTCTGTGTTGGCGCCCCCTACAGACACTGCTGTCAGAGAAGGTGACACAGATGATGGAGTGGGCCTCCAAGCGTTCTGTCATCAGGATGAATGGAGATAAGTTTCGGCGCTTCGTCAAGGCTCCTCCTAGAAACTATTCTGTGGTCATCATGTTTACAGCCCTGCAGCCGCAGCGACAGTGTGGAGTGTGCAAGTGAGTTTGGGGCACAACTGCTGTTATCCTCCATGTTGCTGCTTTTTTTTTTCAAGTTCCATTTGTGGATTCAAATCTTTCTTTTGTTTCAGGCAGGCTGATGAGGAGTTCCAGGTTCTGGCCAACTCCTGGCGGTACTCCTCTGCTTTCACAAACAAAGTCTTCTTTGCATCTGTGGATTTTGATGAAGGCTCGGATGTCTTCCAGATGGTACGTTTTCTCTTCTTTTGTGCTTTTTGGTGACTCTGATTTAAGGTATGTGTATCCAGAAGGTTACTGGTGCAGTTCCCATCAAACCCAGTTGGTTTCCTGCTGTTCTCCTTGTCCACTGTGTTAAAGTGTTGTTGTTCTGCACAACGAGTCACTATTGAGACAAATGTTTGATGCGGTGGTGTATTTAAGCACCATGGAAAATAAAGCTCTGTTCCGACTGGTCTCAGTGTTCTCAGTGTTCCGACTGTTCTTAGTGTTCCGACTGTTCTGAGTGTCCGACTGTTCTGAGTGTCCGACTGTTCTGACTGTTCCGACTGGTCTCAGTGTTCCGACTGTTCCGACTGTTCTTAGTGTTCCGACTGGTCTCAGTGATCCGACTGTTCTGAGTGTCTGACTGTTCTCACTGTTCCGACTGTTCTGACTGTTCCGATTGGTCTCAGTGTTCCGACTGTTCTGACTGTTCCGACTGGTCTCAGTGTTCTCAGTGTTCCGACTGTTCTTAGTGTTCCGACTGGTCTCAGTGATCCGACTGTTCTGAGTGTCTGACTGTTCTCACTGTTCCGACTGTTCTGACTGTTCCGATTGGTCTCAGTGTTCCGACTGTTCTGACTGTTCCGACTGGTCTCAGTGTTCTCAGTGTTCCGACTGTTCTCAGTGTTCCGACTGGTCTCAGTGATCCGACTGTTCTGAGTGTCCGACTGTTCTGAGTGTCCGACTGTTCTGAGTGTCCGACTGTTCTGAGTGTCCGACTGTTCTGAGTGTCCGACTGTTCTGAGTGTCCGACTGTTCTGAGTGTCCGACTGTTCCAAGTGTTCTGACTGTTCTCAGTGTTCCGACTGTTTGTGCTGCAGCTCAACATGAATTCTGCTCCGACATTCCTCCACTTCCCATCCAAGGGAAAACCCCGTAAATCTGACACCTATGAGCTGCAGGTGCGGGGCTTCGCAGCAGAACAGTTGGCTCGGTGGGTTGCAGACAGGACTGATGTTCAGGTCAGTGTCAAACATCCATGACTTTTGCCCTGATGTGGGCATGAAGTGTGTTGGTTAATGTCTCCAATCTTAACCTCCTGGTAGAAAAATAAACTCATGTTTACCTTTGTTGTAGATCCGGGTCATCCGCCCCCCCAACTACGCTGGACCCCTGCTGCTGGGTTTCCTCCTGGCTGTGATTGGAGGACTGGCGTATCTGCGACGGAACAACCTGGAGTTTCTTTTTAATAAGAACGTGTGGGCCTTCTCAGCTCTGGTATAACACACACACACACTGCTGCTCAGACCAGGGGTTTTCAAGGTTTTCCAGGTCTAAGTCCAGGACCAGGACCAACAACCTGACACAGAGATGGAGCAGGGCGCCCCCTTCTGTTCATATGTGTTTATATGAAGCTGTTCATTCCTCAAACCTATTGACGTGGTGCACGGGTTGATGTTTTCAAGTGTTTATTGTCATCATGTGAGTAGGGGTCAAAGGTCAGACAACCTTTATATTTGTTCTGTGTAATGTTGTCTCATCCACCAAATCTCTGGAGTATTTCCATGTCTGAACTTTGACCTGTGCTGATGAATACTGGTGCTTTAGTTTGAACTACTGAACCAGGACAGGTTAATGAGACGACCAGACCCGGACCATCAACTGGTTAAGGTTATGGTGCAGATGAACAGGTCAGACTTGATGAGCTCTCTCTGGACTCTTCTGCTGTGTCTTTCAGTGCTTTGTCCTGATCATGACCTCGGGTCAAATGTGGAACCACATCAGAGGACCTCCTTATGCACACAAAAACCCCAGCACAGGGCAAGTCGTAAGTCAGAACACCACCCCACCCCAACCTGAAAACATTGATTGGTCACCTGCTGAGACAGACGTGTTGACCTGTGTCTGTTCCAGAGTTACATCCACGGCAGCAGTCAGGCCCAGTTTGTAGCTGAGACTCACATCGTCCTGCTTTTCAGTATCCTTCTGTGGGAAACCAACCGGCAACCACAGTTAACTGTCAAGTCAAACTTGGGGGGGTGGGGGAGGTGGTGGTCATCACAGTGATGAATGTTTGTGTCATGGACGCTGCACTGTCCAATAGGGGACAGACTCTAAGTCCAACGTTCTCAGTGTTTTTCTATCTGAGGCCACAGACAGTGGTCGAGCAGGTAAACACTGGAACTGGAACTGGAACTGGAACTGGAGCTGGA